GATCCGCGGAAGCCGCGCGGGCCTCCGAAAGATTTGTTGTGTGCATGGCATTGTTTCTTTTTCGAGATCAGGGTCGTGACGTGGTTCAGCCCGTACTTGATGACCTGGGGCTTCTTTGTCTTCACCTCCTGGCCGTCCTTCTTCTGCTGGGCCATCTCCATTAGCCTGGCCTTCTTCTCCTCGGCGGTCTCAGGCATGTACTTCTTCATCAACTTGAACAGCTGCGCGGCCTGGTTCTTGTCAATGGCCAGATTGAACTGGTTGATGGCAGGCGGGACCTTGAGCCGCATGAGCATGACCCGCTTCATGCGCTGCAGGCGTACGAACTTGGGCCACCTCACGAAGCGGTTGAGATTCCTCTTCGGCTGGATGTCACCGCCGAGCCTGAAGTTACGCGGGGCCTTCTCGAACAACGGGTTCTTGGCGGCCTTCTTCTTCTTCTCTCCCAGGGGCGCGTTGGGGAGCTTCTTCTTGGCGCCGGCCTTCCCCATTTTTGCGGCGAGGGGTCTCCGCGGGCGCGGCCGAGGAGGGCGCGGCACGGCCGCTCTGTGAGCCCCAGTGGCCTGAGCCGAAGTGGCTAAGGGGGAGGGGGATGTCCTACGGGGGATGGCCTCTGAGCGGTTTCCTACTGCCTGGGGCGGTCTCGGGGCGGCTCGGGAAGCCTTCGCGCACTCTCTGTGCGGTCCAGGAGGAGGGGGAGGAGGGGGAAAAAAGAGGGAGGAGAGGGGACGAGGGGAGGAATGAGAAAGGGAGGGACGAAGGAGAGAGGATGACGACGACCAAGAGCAAGGAGCGGAGCGAGGCTGCAGGGAGGACATAGGACAGAAAAGGGATTTGAAGAGGAGGAATGGACAGGAAAGGGGAGGAGGAGGATGATATACGGCGGCGAAGAACAGAAACTTTACAAGGCAGCACGGGCACTTCTCGAACTCGTTCCCATGTGCTCCTTCTCTCCCATCGCTCCTTCGTTCGAAGCCGTCCTCCAAAACGAATATTGGAAGACGGTTATTGCCGACTACGCCGAAACCCCCTTTCCAAAAACCTTCCCTCGGGAGCCCGGTCCGGCCCGTTTTGGGGGGGTGGGGGGGGGGCCAGGCGGTGCCGCCACTGTCCTGTCCCTGTGAAGCTCCCAGGCGGGTAACGGACGGGAAAGCCCAAAAGGTCCCCTAAACGCTCCAAGAAGGCTCCAAAAGGACCGCCAACGGAGTCCCAAGCCGCAACAACCGGCCCAATCCTTTGCAGGAAAACATGCATGCTCAGCGCCTTCGGATTTTAGGCCCGCGCGCAGTCCACGACAACCTACGAAGCCCCCAACATCGTCACAAAACGCCCCACGACGCCGTCATGAGAGCCCCACCCCCCCAAAAAAAGACCAACGAAGCTATTAAAGTGACTGGGTAAGCGACCCAGACAGACCCAAGAGAGGCACAAACCGAATGGGGGGCCCAATGAACTACCCTTCTGGGGGGAAGCGGGGCCCATCGGAGGGCCCCAGAGACCGCCCCAGACGATGCCTCCAACATGCCCCCCGCATGCGCCGAATGCGTCGCCTGTTGCTGGCCCCGCAGCTTTGGCCCCAAGGGGTCGGCGGTGCGGCGCAACTCCTCAAAGTCATCACTATAAAACTGTTCCACACTGCACCTGCCCACTACGAAGTTCCTCCCCCTCCCCTGCCCCTCCTCCTCCGGAGACGCTGAGACACTGACGGCACTGGAATTATCCGAACGCTGCCGTTTTCTTTCCGAAGCGCTGGGGCGCTGGCGGCAGTGGAGTTAACCGAACGCAGCCGCTTCCCCCAGGGAGGCCCGGTCTGGCCCCTCTGGGGGAGTAGACCAAAACGCGGAATTCGGGGCCGAGGCCCGCAGGACAGGACGGGGGGGAAGAGGGAGGGGACATAACATAAGCATGTGATGTCATAACCTCAGGAGGGAGGAACAAGACAAGGGGGGGGCGATGTAGCAGCGTGAGCAGACGGGGGCGCACGATGGGGGAGCAGGGGGACGGGAGGGCACGGTCGGGCAAAGGTGGGGCACGGCACAGTCGGTCGGTCGGTCGGAATAAGCGGACGGGGACCACGGGGCGGAGGCGCGGGGGGAAGCAAGAGGAAGGGGCACGGTCGGTCGGTCGGTCGGAACAGCCGGGGGCCACGGGGCGGAGGGGTGCGAGGGGAGCAGGGGGACGGGGGGCACGGTCGGGCAAAGGGGGGGGAAGGTCGGTCGGTCAGTCGGAATAAGCAGACGGGGACCACGGGGCGGAGGGACGCGGGGGAAGCAGCGGGAAGGGGCACAGTCGGTCGGTCGGTCGGAATGTAGACGGGGGCCACGGGGCGGAGGGGTGCGGGGGGGAGCAGGGGGACGGGGGGGCACGGTCGGGCAAGGGGGGGGGCACGGTCGGTCGGTCGGTCGGAATCAGCAGACGGGGGCCACGGGGCTAAGAGGCGCGGGGGAAAGCAGGGGAACGGGGCACGGTCGGTCGGTCGGTCGGTCGGAATAAGCAGACGGGGGCCACGGGGCGGAGGGGTCGCCATGATATAACGATGTAGATATAAATGTGCATACTTTTCCGCACGCCGATAGTAGTCATACTAACTAGTCATAACCTGATACTGGCAACTAAACACTAAATGGCCGCGGATGCGTTCGCTCCTGCTTTGCTCCCGCTCGCTTACCCAGCTGCGCAACTCCCATCAAAGTCACCAAACGCCCGATGACGACCAAAAGAAAACCCCCAAGAGACCTCCGCAACCAAAAAGAAAGTGTCAATTGTGTTGAGATGATGTCCGTGATCGCTCAAAAGACCAGAACATCGTCCGAAAAATACGCCAGAGATCTTCCAGGCAGTCCAAGAGAGCCCCCAGACGGCCCAACAGGGCCCCAAGATAGCCCGACAACAAGCCCCACGGCGTCCCAGGATGGCCCCAAAACGCCTGCCGAAGCATTGCAACTCGTGACGCGGTCGCTCAAGGATACCATGTTTGGAAGCAAGGTGGCCCGAAGAACCCCCCAGAAGGAACCAAGGAGGCCGCCGGAAGGCCCCAAGACACCCTTAACAATTTTCGTAAAGTTCCCAGGAGGCTATCCAAAGAGGAGCCTCCGCAAAAAGAACTGAGGATGGGGACGAATTCGAACGGTAAGACGGCGAGGAGGAAGATGAACATATAACATGAGGGAAGGCGGCTCAATAGTACCAGTAGTTCGACGATGTCGAACACAATGCAACACGGCGGTATCGTTACATTTCCTAGTTTAGCTTCTTGCCCGTGCGCCTGCATGCAAAACCTCAAGGACCTAGGTGCATAGCGCGAAGAGTCAATGCAGAATGCGTACACGAGTAACTATATACATATACCAAATGCATGTATGTGTGTGCGCATACATGTGAACACATTCCGATATCACTATCGAATGACCGATCGATTCCATACAGGGTTACTAGTATCCCTGTTCTGTATATATATATAGATACAAACTGCAGATCACCACGACAAAACAAAACCGTGGGACAACCACAGCGAGACAACCGCAGGACAACAACCTGGACAACCATATAAAACATCATATGACATCCATCGAAACATCCGTCGGAACAACCATCGGGACCATCACGGGGCAACCATCGTGACAACCATCGGGGCAAACATCGGGACAACCATCGTGAAAACCACCGAGCCAACCATCGGAACAACCATCACGACAACCATCAAGACAACCATGGTGACACCCATCGGGTCGACCACAGGACAACCATCACGGGAACCACATGACAACCACGGGACAACCATGGGGACAACCGTGGGGACAATCATGGGGACAACCATCGGGACGGCACACCCGTCGGGACAACCGCCGGGACAACCATCGGGACAACCGTGGGTGCCCCATGGTTGTCTCGATTGTATACGACCTCCTGGCCGAGACCAGGAAAGACTATACGCCATAAACCGGGAACGGGTCGAACTCGGAATGGGACACGTCGAGGTTAACAGAAATCTGGCGGTTCTGGAAAACGTATCGGGCGCCGCGGCCGTTCCAGCGCGCTCCAGGTCGCTCCGAAAACGCTCCAGAACGCTCTGGAGCGACTGATCGCGGCCGTGTCCCCGCTCGGCATGCGCCATCCTGGGGCACGGCGGCAGTGCATGGATGTCTTCTGCGGATGAAGACCCTGCGGGAGACAAGCGGCGAGCGATACCGAGGGCGACATCGCAGCACCCGTCCCGCCCGACAGGAGTGCGGGCAATACTTATATCCATACCCAGTGCGTCTTGGACGTTCTTGGGAGGGGCGCCGCAAGGCCGAGGCGCACTGGATATGGATAACATCGGGCCTTCTGGGGCAAGATGTTAATCCATATCCAGTGTGCCTCATGTTTCTGGGGAAGAGAGCCCGAAACTCAAAGACGCCCTGGATGTGGATATAGACATTGCCCGCAAGGAGGAGAAGGCCGAGGTCGGGCGACGGCCCTGCGAAGTGTCCTTCGTCGCGACTTGCCCGCCCGCTGGGGAGGCCGCGCTGGCTAGCGGCTTAGCGGGCGCAGGGCGGCGCCGGTCCAGGGGATCACCAGGGACAGGCAAAGCATGGACCGCTCGCCCGGGTCGGTCGTGGCGATGGACCGGCCGACCTGCGGGAGGAGGCGGAGGAGGAGGAGGAGGAAAATGAACGTGACAGGAGGAGGAGGAGGAGGAGGAGTAGGAGGAGGAGGACGAGGAGAAGGAGGAGGAGGAGGTCGAGGAGGAGGGAAGAGGGAGGAGAAGCAGGAGGAGGAGGAAGGAAAGGAGGAGGAAGGAAAGGAGAAGGAAGGAAAGGAGAAGGAAGGAAAGGAGGAGGAGGAGGAGGAAGAAGTAAATAAAGGAAGGGAGGAGGAGAAGGACGACGACGACGACAATGACAATGAGGGAGACGGGTAAAGGAAAAAGAGGGATTGAGAACGGAGAACAGGAGGGTCGGCTGGTCGGGCGCAGAATGAGGACAATCGGAGGTGTCTCTCATCTGAACGGTGCGCAAAAAAAGAAGGGGGATGGCGAGGGGGCAAAGGGGCGAAGCGAGAGAGAGAGAGAGAGAGAGCACCACTTCGGACAAATGGTCGGTCCAGGCCCGCGGAGAGCACGCACCCGCGAAGCCTACCTCGAAAGGCAGGAGGTGCAGCTTGAAAAGCAGGGTGGGGATGCGACCCTCCCCCATGGCTCGGTCGGCGGGGACCACGACTGGAAGACAAAAAAACGATGTGGTGAAAAGGGCGAGACCCGCCCCTTCTGCACGCCCGTGGACAGGGAAACGATTTACACGCGCTGTGACATCCGCGATCCAGCGCCCCCCACAATAAAGGGGCCACCTTGGGGCAACCTCCGCGGCGACCCGATCCTAGGGCTACGGAGAACCCGCCAGTTGCTCACGCACCGCGCTGAGAACATGGAGAGGTTAGCGCTGGTGCGCTTCGGTGAGCATCAGAGCGCGCCTGGGGCTTGCCTTGGGATGCCCCAAGGCGGCGATCGGGCCTGACGAAGGACGATCCCAGCGGCCCGTGCTCTCTAGAGTCTTTTAATGCGGAGTCCTGCCTGTTCCTCGGCGATGCGCAGCTTGTGC